GATGCAGAGTTTTATTCCGATGAGATTCACTTCAGCATTATAAAACTATTCTTGAAGTTTGCTTGTGGGCTACTTGTGTTGGAAACTTTGGGTGGAATCTGGACATGCCCGAGCTGCTCGCCTGACTCCCACCGTGCAGTTACTCCTAGACTTGACATACTGTCTCTGTTTTGTGTTGCTCTTTGCCCAGCTGCCTCAGGAAGAAGGAAAGTGTGAATATAATATACCTCCCTGGCCCTGTTTGCTGGGGTATCAGTGAACATGAGTTTTCCCAGACTATAATCGTGGTACCAACATTGAGTTTTTAGGATGTCCTGCTGTAAGATCTCTGTGCAGAGAAGTCAGGAAACATCGCTGGTCTGCGATGAGTTTATAATTACACTATTGGACTTTCCTTGTGCAGGATGGAAGGACTTTAATTCTCATTTCTCCCTTGCGTAGAATCAGCAGATAGCTGTCCTAATCATCACTTGCAGCCAGTAGGGTTATGGTATATTAGTTCATTGAATACCTGCAAACCCATTCTAAACAGTTTCTTTCATTGTACCAAAGGGCCCTCAGTTTTTAATACAAAACTTAATAGATTATGCACAGGGCTGATACATGATCCGTGTATTATCCTTATTTTATCCGTTTTATAAATCTTTCTAACATTTACAGCCTTGTTTTGACTAATGCTTAGTAATTATGATGAAATGGCATTTTAATTATCATAGCTTCCAAAGTTGCCACCGAATGATAAATTATATAGAAAACATTGTTCATCTCAAAAGTATCTGCCAATTTATGAAGATGTAGTTTTATGAACATCAGTTAATAACGTTTAGTGCATAACCCTGGATGTGTTTAATCCCAGTTGAAATTCCATTCGATCATTTTGCTTTTCTTATAAATTTGGAGTTCCTGAAGATTCTTTTAATAGATGAATTCCACTAGTTATTCTCAAATCAGGATACGAAGTTTCCCTTTCCCTTCACTCAAGGTTGGGTGAAGGAATGCTTCTCCCTGAAATTGAAGCTAGTAACAGGACATAAAACTAGGGTGCTCATCCTTAAGCCATTTCTTCTCAGTGTCTGCTTAGCTGTAATCATTGGCTAAAAATAATATGTAATGAACTATATTGTATGTAACCTGAACAACATTTATATATACACTGATTGGAAGTGCTTAGTTACATATTGCATGTATTTGCAATTCAGTATATTGATCTTCATGGATGCTTTTAAGACCTCTGTTCCACAGCCTGAAAACTAATGGTCAAACATGACTGAAATAAAAAAAAAAAAAAATAAAGCTCAGGATTGTCTTTATGTGTTGGCCAACTTTATGAGCAAATAAGACATCTGTTTTTCACTCTTAGTGTGGGGTAATTTTGACATTTATGGTAATTAACAAAAGTAGTGTCTAATCTCTTAAAAGCTTATTCGACAAGTATCTAATTTCATCTAAAAGAGGCAGTCTGTTTTTCAGTGATGTTTAATATTGAATTTCTATAGTAGAAGGTTCACATTTGTGTTTATATGTTAAAAAAGTATTTTAAAGTGTGCGTCTAGTGGTTTGGTAATTTTCTCTAAATTGCTTTTAAATTGGGAATGGGATGAGTGATTCTTTAACTGTCTTGTAGCTTTAGTTTTTATTTGTTTAGCGATATTTAATGTGGAACTATCATGTAGTTCAATTATCTTTGTTCCATATCCATAGTCTTGCTGGAATTAGGCTTTTCGCTTGGTTTTCAGAAATGTTTAGTTATCTTTTTTGTAGGATAAGACTAATGCAATTAACATTGGGCATTAATCTTTTCCTTTTCCATTACTTTGGCACAAGTTGTTGAAAAACTGTTGGGAGTTGTAGTGCAGCTCCTGGAGCCTCTCCTGGTATGTTGTATCCCCGCCAACATGATGGCCCTCTGCTCGGCTTAGGCCAGTGTGCCAGTGTTTTTCTCTTTTGGGGCCCCCAAAACTGTAGGCAATACTCAAGATACAGCTTCACGAGTGCTAAGTTGAGAGAGAGATCATTTCGCTTGACTTGCGTGCTGTCGTCTTCTTGTTGGTCCACTCCTCAAGGTCCCTCCTAAAGGATTTTCTGTCCTCTAGTGTATCAACCCCACTCTCCCCAGCTGGCTGTCAGCTGGGAACTTGCTGAGGCTGCCTCTGTCGCAATGTCCAGATCAAAAGAAGTTTCAGTGTAACCTGCAGAGTAGGGTTTGGTCTGTCAAGGATAGCAAAAAAAAAATCAGTGAATATTAATACTTATATTTCTGTCCTTTAAACACAAAGGAATCAGGAAATCTATCTAAATAACGCTGAGTTTTAAGTCTCTGAAATTTCTATGGGGAATTCCATATCAAGTGATCTGCAAGATGTAATAGGGAGGTAACTGTGTGAGGTTTAATAAATGCATGTTGCATTTATTAATACCCCTTGCTGTGGGGTTTGGGTTTTGGTTTTGTTTTTCCTGGACTAAGTGAACCTTGACTGCTATATTGCAATTTAACTATTATCAGTTAAGACATAAGAAGGCTTACAGAAAACAGGCTAGTGTTATTTACCTGCAAGTTTGCATTAGTTGCAGTTGAAGCGATTTTAATGTGTTTGAGAAAAAGAATCTGAGTGTGGTGAGTTCAGAACAAATTACCACAAGGACTTTGAATTGTCCTCTGGTGGTTGTACAGATTTTGCATGCTGCAGTGTTGACTATAAAAAGTTAATTTACAAGCTACAGGTTTTATATTCCTAGATGATATGAGAACTTTATAAAGAGCTGCCATAAAGATTTGTCATCCAATTCTCCATTTGTATGATAAAAAGAAAAAGAATTAGCAAATGGTGGTGGAGAAATGGACACTCGTGATGACACACCTGCCTTCTTTTTCCCAATTCCAGGGCATATTCCCTTGTGGATTCCAGTCAAGTTTCTACTTTCCTGATTTCTATTCTCCTCATAGTCTACGGCAGTTTCAGGTAAGATTTTTCTTTAAGGTTCTGCAGAATTTTTCTTTTTCAAATAAAAATATGGCAAGTACTGAATACAGTTTATGTTTATGCCTTTTGTTTCATTGTGTCTTTGTAAGACTGATGGCTAATATAAATGAAATATTTCTTGCTTCTGAAAAGGAAATGGAAAAGAAAGAAAAAGTAGCCAGTTGGGGTTTGTGAAAGACATAATTGTATGTCAAGTTACAAGCACATATAAGATAACTTAGAAGTTAGTCCTTGAAGACAACTCTGTAAAATTGTATTTTGGAGGGTATAAAAGGATTGTCGAGAGAGATAGGAATGTAATGTTATCGATAGTAGAATTTTATATATAATGTTTCAATGTTGGTTGATTCAGCATGTCCTTGTTATGATTGCAAACAAGTCTTGTAAAACAGAGATTCCCGAGTCCCAGTGCTATTTACTTGAGTGTGAGTAACAGCTTAATAGAGAAGTGGAAAGCACCGTCAGTGTTGAATTCCAGCAAAGTGTCTGAGAACTGTGGCAGGATAAATTTGAATCTTCAAAAATCAAATTTGTCCCACTCTAGGAGACTTGAGTACAGTCCCTTTAGACTTGCAGCTTGTATTATACAGTTTGTTTTAATGTAGTGGCACCTAAGGAATGAGGTTCATACTGACATATTAAAAAAAAAATAATCAGAGCATGGAATTACTCTTTTTTCATGTACAGCATGTTTTTCTTCCTGTTTCTTGAAGAACATTGCTTCATTTAACAAGTCTATGGTAAAAGACCATACATTCACTCTGAAGTCTCTGAACTGCTATGAGTATTCCTGAAATAGATGATAGCTGTGGTCATACATACGATATAAGTTGCAGCTGTTAGGATAAGAGGTTTTAAGTTGCCTCCATAATAAGTTAGTAAAATCATATAATGAAAGAGCCAGTTTTTGTAAGAGCTGTTGTTGCTAGCGAGTATTAGGTAACACCACTGTTGATGGAATTAAAATAGAAGGCATTAGGAAGACAAAATCTAGAGATGATGAAAATAAATTAAAAAAAAGAAATAAAAGGTTGTCTTTGTTTAGTTTTTTCTTCAGGTTTTGAGTCAGTCTAGCATATAGTTGAGGGACTAATTCAATTTTTAACTATTTGAATTTATGCAGTTATGTAAAAAAGAACTATGCATCTGGCTGCAAGAAGCCATAGCATTTATTAAAATTCAATTGTGAAAACATGATGCAATATAAAACAGCAGGAGTGCTTGAACTTAAATTGCCTGCCCTTCTCAGAGCTCCTTGCTCTTAAAAATTTTCCCCTGCTGTTTGCCATCCTATTCCTATACACACATGCTCTTTTACTATCTTGTCCTATGATTTACATTTAAAACTGCTCACATAACAAGGACTGCAAACTTCAGAACAATCTAACTTATTGGAGGAAGTAGTGGAATGGTGATGGATACAAATCAATTGAGGAAGTGCCCTGTTCTAGTCCACTTTCTTTGCATGTATCCTGAAGACCCCAAGATGCAAGCTATTACAGACCAAGATTGGGTCCAATAGTTTTAGAATTAATTTCCTAATTAATTTCCTATATGTAGTTTCTTTAGCAGATGTCTGAGCTGAAACCCGCAGTTACGAAGTTGACTTGGACAAATTCCCATTCTGTTTGGTCAGCAAGTAGGTCAAAAGCAGTTTTTTATAGAAAATTGTACAGTGGTGTTAACAAAGATTTTTGTTAACACCTAAGATACAGTTAAGTTATTTAAGACACAGTCTTAAGATACAGTTAAGTATCTAAGTCTAAGATACAGTTAAGTTATTTAAGAAATTCAAGTGTGGTAGTAAGTTGCGAAATTGTATTCATCTGGAAATTCCTGAAGTAGTTAAATAAAAACTTCTGGTAAAGTGTGTGGATTTTCTTAAAAAGTGACTTGCCAGAAAGACAAAGGTTATGGCTCAGGGTGCTCATCTGCAAATGACAACAATGTTGTTTTCATCTAGATTTGAGTGCTTCGTCTCAAATGGAGCTGTCGTAAGACAAAAAGCAAATAGCACTCCTTAGTTAACCTTGGTGTTGCAGGAAGTGGGTTTGGTTTCTGATTTTCAGTCTGAAAAGAAACAAATAGAGTTATTGTGGTATTGCTGGCAGGTGACTTAAACAGAAGTGCAGTAATAGGATCAGAAAGAATTGGGTGGGTGAGTCATTAGGATAAAATCCATGTGTGTGGTGGATCTAATCTGATGCAAGAGGTTTCAGGGGAACAAAGGAAAGTCTTGGTCCACTGTCCTGTCCTTATTCGTACAAGCAGCGTTTGTCCAAAAACCAGCCAACCAACCAAACACAAAACCAAAACCTCCCAAGATATTCAGAAGAATGTCTAATAGATCATGGGTAAAGTCTGCATCCAGAGCAAAGTCAGTTTATAGAGTTGAGTTCCTGCTTCTCCTACTGTGGATGAACAAGCATTTCCTTCCTATGTGTGTGCCGGCTCAGGAGTTTTAGCTTCAAGCCCTTCTGAACATCTCTCCCATATACGTTCTGACTGTCTCTCAGTCCTTGAACTTGATATACTTTATTATTGACAGCCAAAGGGGCAAGTGTAATCTTTTGAACTGTTACAAGCTGTAAACTGGAGCATGCAAGTGTATGTGTTAGTTATGTTTTTTTAAAGAGGTGAGCTTAGCTTGAAACAGATCGTTTCCTATGGGTTCTTGCAAGACAGCCACCTGTTCTTGTTCAAGTGCTTCTCTGCGATTTAAATGTTGAAGTTACTTTCCAGGCAGGTAACAGCTAAATCTTTTTCTATCCTATCACATACCCAATCATGGTCTCTCAGCTTATGTAAAGCCTGATTTAACCCAGAATCTACCTGTTCAAGTTTCTGCTTTTAAACCAAACTAAGCAGCATGGGATGAAACTGGTGTCTTCTGTCTCTATGCTTTGGGTACCTAAAATATATGTGTAAATAGAAAATAGTTCAAGCAGTGTCCTTATGGTTGGCTTTATGACTTGACATTTACAGAAATCAGGATATATATTTCACAATAAAACTTAAAGGGAAAGGCTGTGGAGTTCATAAGCATCTACAGCCACAGCACTGGCAGGGTGGAATTGGGGATTTGGACGGACCTTCTCACCAGCTGCTACAAAAGTTGTCTGCACATGTGCACGCACAAGTGGGTGCACATAAAATAGCTGCTGAAGGTGGGATGTTGTTATCAGAGATGTGGGACTCGGGCATTCTTACCCCATCTAGGCAGTGAAAACATTTTTACATGCATTTTCTGCTGTTGTTTCCCCTATTCTTATTCCCACTCCAGATCTTGCATTGGAACTTGTCCTTTCATCTTACAGCAATGTTTTATCAGCGACTGTAGCAATGTTAGAGCACACAACATATTTTAGGCTCTATAATATACATTGAGATTTGATTGAATTAAACTGTCTCAGGTCAATGACTGATTCTGATAGTAATTTTTATTTAGATCGATTGAAATCTGACAACTCTGTGGCAACCCGCAATTCTCATAGTCCCAGAGCTGTTAAGATGGGCGACTGTCCTCACTAAGTAGAGCAAGAATATATTACATCTGCAAGCAACTCTATACATACATACTTGCTTTCATATTTCCTCCATTGTTTCATAAGAATATTCTCCTGCAGGGTTTCCCTGAAGCATTACTGCAGCGGAAGTGATCCATAGTTGAAGCTGAACTTTCGTGATAATAATGTGCCAGCAGCTTACTCATTCCTTTGGCCTTAGTGTAACCCTGCTGAGTGGTTCCCTGTGGGAGGCTGAGCCGTGCTTGCTTTGAAACACTGTGCTAGAAATCCTACCAACTTGAACTGTGAGGACCCACAGAAGAACCAACTGTGTAGTTTATTGCCCGATGGGAGGTGCTGGCTGAATGTTGCCTTTGGAAGCCCAGCAGAAACTTGAACAAAAAAGCAAATGTGTCTCAGCTTGCAATTTCTTTACAGTCCAGTAGTTTTCAGTATATCTTGTTTTACAATATAATTTTTAACTTTCTTGAAGGATGTTTTAGTGATCATTTCTCAATTTTTTTTTATTATGTTAGTGATAATTTGTGGCAGAGGGAACAGCCAAATCATAAAATGGTTGGAGATTATTCAGAAGTTGTCTTGGATCTTGGAGCAGCTGTGTTGCTAAGTGAAAGTAATTTCCTAATTTATGCTTACTTTTGAGGTAGGGATGTTTATAGGTAATAATGTAATAATTGCTGACACTATTGCAATGAAAGAAAAAGGGCTGAAGTTGTTTATGAGCAGCAGATCTAATAGTTTCTTTCCAGTTTTCCTTGCTGATAGCAATCCCTGAAATTACGAGTTGCCCGATGCCACTGGGAGAATGGTGGTGTGAAGTTCTTGCTAAACTGTGCTAATTCAGAGGGGAATGAAACGCTGCTCTGAGAAAAGAATTATCTTGTTTGGCTGAATCTTGGATCGAGTCCTGGAGGGTTGTCAGCCTCCTCCTGGATTTTGGTAGCTTGAGAGGAAAATTATGAGGCTACAATGCATTAATGGGGAAAAAGGAAGCGTGAATGAAGGATAAAGGCACTGTAAACAAGATGCAAAGCAGAGGGATCTTTAGAAGACCAAGCTAAGAAGAACAGGTTAATTTGTTAGAATTTTAGTGTTCTCCATTGCCTCTTCATATTTTTGATGTTGATGTTCCACAATCTGTGTACAAGTACTGTATGTCTGAGGTTGAAGCTTCCTCATACTTTGCCTGAGCCCAAAAGCTGCTTTAATTTCAGACCACTGTTTGGGAGCACTTGCATAATAGAAACAGAAGAAACAAACCCGGTTTAGACTGGAAGAGCCTTTTTTTTTGTTTTTGTTTTATACAGTGAAACTGCTCAACCTCTCTCTGTTTAGCACACCATGCCTATCTTGATACTATAGACCTATATGCGCTTGATTTCAGGTTGTGTGGCTGCAGCACAAAATTGCTCACCTGTGCGTTGCAGCAGGTAACCGATACACTAAAATGAAATAATTTTGATGCCTACAGAATTGTATAGGAGATTGTGGTGTATTTTTTACTTGTCTGACAAATTAATAAAATTTGTTTACTTTGCGTAATGTGGTTACTTACAGCTCAACTTGAAAAGGAGTTTAATGCCTGTCAACCTGGAAGTTTTATTGAAATACTTGGTATTTGATGCTGTTGCAGACATAAGACAGGAGCCGTACAGTGCTTCTCAACAGCTTATTTGAATAAATAAATCTGCAGCTTAAGTCATGGATAACATGCATGTATCAGAATGATAAACTATCATGGTAAACTTGATTGCTGGTATTTTTGTATAAAACAACATAGAATTTAAAGATAGAAATTACTGCTGGCCAAAACAGACCTTAAATGAAATGCCCCCATTTCAGAAAGTTATGCCAAAATTTGTAGAATATAATTTAGAAGTTGCATCAAAATCAAAGACTGTGGCAAAAGGGGTAGAATACTGTGTTATTTTTTAATTTTTCTAAAGTGTGTATATCAAAATGAAAAGATAAATCCATTAGAGCTGAGCTGGGGACATAGGGGAATGTTGTCAGCTCCTATGGATGAATTAAGTTGTATCAATTTGTACTATTTATTAAGAGGTTCCTCTAGTCATCTGTACTGCTTGTATCTAAAATATGTATCTGGTTACTTTCTAGGCTTTGCTGAAATTTTTCAGTTAAGACCTTACATTCAACAGACAAGAACTTATAAGCTAGTTTTGGTCATCATTCATAAGAAGGAAATAATATTGTGTTAAAAATTAAACCCGATAGTTAATTTGAATGAAAAGTATCTAAATGAGAACTTGGAAAGAGTTCATATACATCAGAGCATTGAAACATTTGTTGCATTTCCATCATGTTCGACACTTGCCAGTAACGCAGATAAATATCTTTGTTGCGGTTTGTTGTTAACACTTACCAAGTCAGGCACTATGGAGACTAGTCTCACTATTACAACCTGTGTGATTTGGTGCCACATCTGTAACTATAAGCTTTTTTTTTTGCTTTTTTTTTTTTTTTTTAATTTTCCAGTGTGTATGGTGTTTTTTCTAACAACCAGCATTAAAGGGCTTTTTCAGGGAGAGGGTGCTGTGGTAGAACTGTAACGAGACATAGCTGATGAGCTTAAATAGAAGTTTGAAACTTGCCTGTTAAGTTTGCTTTGTTTCCTGCAGGTCTCTTAACATGGACTTTGAGAATCAAGACAAAGAGAAAGACAATAGCAGCGCAGCTGGGTCTTTTAATGGCAACAGCACCAATAACAGTAAGGGTTAGCTTTACTCCTAATCTTTCTTTCATCACTTCAGCCTGTTGCATCTTCTTTTGCTTCATCTGTGTGTTTCAGCTATGTGGGTTGTAGATTCACCTGATCTAAGGGAACTGTTTTGTCTCAGCACTTACCGTCTTGCTATGCACTAATACTGCTATCTAGTTCATGCCCATGGAAGCTAAATTTAAAACATCAATGTAACATTTCAATAATTGCGTGCTGCGCTATTCGTCAGGTTTTACTGGAAATGGAAACTGCTTCACTTTTTTAAAAAAAAACCACTACACAGTTATGAGAAGGGAATGTAATTTCTTTTTGCCTGGAGTTTATCACTATGATGTATTAGCCAGTCTGTAAGCAATGAGAGATCTCATGGTGTGCTAACAAGTCCATAAGGATGATTCAGCTTTATCAATAGAGAAATTGAAGTACAGAGTTCACATGGCTTTGGGCAACTCATTTATAATGGACGACAAAGTATGTGTCTATACACAGTATATTCGGAGTGGGGATTAACGTGTCAGCTCCTACGTGGTGATTTTCCCCTCTGTAATCTATAAATAGATTCCAGGCAGCTTGGCCATTTGAGATGCACTGTTTTGCAGGTAAAAATATGTATGTGAACAGTTAGAGTGGAATGCGTTGTACACAATGTGCTGTAAATTCACACCTGAGTTTAATTTACAGCTGTTTATATGGGTGTATTCTGAGAACAGACTCTAAAATGAATAGTTTCAGCAAGTTTAGAAGACAGGAGTGAGATATGTGAGCAGCCCTGTGCACAAAACCCTGAATGCTAAGGTTGCTTTGTTTAAAGTAAGAAATATAGCTTAAAAATTATAAAATTAATAACATATATTGTGTTGTATGTGTCTCTTGCTTTTCTTGGAGCTTTTTTTTTTAATATAGACTCTTGGAATTTACATGGTTGTCAGAGCACTTCTGACACAGAGCAAAGAGGTTGCTGTGCTTGGTGATTCAGCAATGAACAGTTGAGGCTTTTGGCATCTGGGAAGTAAGAGAAGACAGTCTGGGGCTGGGGAATAAGCACATTAAGGGGATTAGCTGTCAAAATGATCAGAAATGAAATTAAGAACTTTAACATTTAACACTGTAGGCACTAATTTCCATATGCCAAGGTGGTTTGTAGTATGTCATTTCTGGGTTTTGTTTTGTTTGTTTCTTCCCTTGGGAAGTTGAAGGGCATGTGAATAAATGCTCAAAGCAGAAAGCACTAGATCTAAGTCACAGATTAGAACGCAGGAACTTCTGTGTCTTCGCACTGTCGTAACTGGGCTGTCTACATTGTACCAGACTTCAGTAACATAGAAATCCCAAGTGACTGATTTCTTCTGCTTTTTGTTTTTAAAATTTATTGTGCTACATATGTTTAAGAATAATAGATCCATGACCAGAACTAATAAATGACCATACAGTACAAGTGCCATGGCTTCCATGCTCATTGTTTAGCTTTTCTTGGTTAAATGGTTAAATGCTTATGACAGATACTAAGTTGTAGTGAGTGTATTTCACGTGTGTTTGAGGTTTTTTGACATACTCAGATACACTGGGAACTATGAGTTGTGTAGGTAACCCATTATTTAGACAACTTGCTACTTTTCTACAGAAAAAAATAAAATAGACACACTCTCACATACACGCACAAACAATGTGTGTGTATATATACTTGTATATCTGTGTATACTTGTATATATATACTTTCCTGTGTTCCTGTGTTTCCTGTGTGTCTCCATACAAGATATACTATGTGTATCTTGTATGTCTGTGTATACGTGCATACATACATATGCTGAGATACTCTGCTTGATAACCTAAAAGCTTATCCTTAAAATCCTGGGACTGGTAAAACCCTGCTTCATATATCAGCATCTAAGTATTTTGGGATAACACTGTGATGTTAATCTGGTTTTAGATCTCATCTCAGTCCAAGTCTTGTAGTAATTTTTCATTAGAGACATTTTGGATGCTTCTTATCAAGTGACTACTTCAGATGTTACCTGTTATTTTAATGCTCTACAAGTATAACTATGTCTTGTACTTTTAATTGGGTTACTACTTATGGCTTCTTCCCCCCCTCCTCATGACCAAATGTAAATACAGGTACAGAGACTGGTTAAGTATTAGAATTTGCGGGGATAGGTGGGCTTTTAAAAGCCTGATCTTCTCAATTTTATTAGTAATTCTAAAAACTCATGGTAAAATGTAGTAAAAAATGTCCTGTCCCATTATTAATATCCCTAGTAGTCACACTGCATGGTTGAGGTGGGGGAAATAATCAGAAGAAAATGCTTCAGTACCTCTCCACTGTTTCAAATTGCTTCCAGCTATAAATGCGAGCATGAATTTTTGTTGGTTTTTAGCATAAAAGGCAATTATAGTGCACACCGAACTGGGTTGGTAGTTTCATAAACAGGTAAATTACTTGGGTGGTTTTTGAAAACTGCCCTTTGTTGTTAGGCTTGATATTATCTGGTGATTGCAATCAGTGATACCTTTCAAGTGCATGGTGGCCTTCACCCAAGAGGAATTTGAAGCTGTGGCACCCTTTGCATGAGCTTGGTCAGCCTAACACTGTGTGCAGCTCTGCTGTTAGTCAGGCTCTACCTCGTGCTGAGAGGTTGCATAAAACTTTTATAGGCTCTGTTCAACATGTTTATGTTTCTCAGTGTAAAATGAAGCAAATATATAATTGCTATATGATTCCTAATCCCTAAATAATGTTAATTTTTGTAACTTGTCATTCATTCTATCTATGGCACAAGAAAAAAAATCATACATTTTCTTTCAACTTTCAGTTCTTGGATTCTGCAAAGCAGGACTGTTGCTGTACACACCCAGCCACTGCAATCGTGCAGTTTAGCTGGAGTGTTTTTGCACTGACTGCTGTGCTTGGTTATGATAGTGCACAAGGATCTCAGAGTAAACATCTGTTGCACCAGCATTGAAATGGAATATATTGTCAGAGTCCTCAATTGTGTTGGTGAGGACAGGCTGTCAATATGTGTGTGGTAAGAAATAGCCCAAGTTAAATGTCACGTTCTTTCTTTCTGCAGGTATTCAAACCATTGATTCTACCCAGGCGTTGTTCCTGCCAATTGGAGCGTCTGTCTCTCTCCTAGTTATGTTCTTCTTCTTTGATTCAGTTCAAGTTGTCTTTACAATATGCACAGCAGGTGACTAAGTTTTCATCTCTTTATAGGAATTGGAATAGAACAGAAAACATTGATATCATTAAATATTGTTGATAAGAATTGTAATACATGTCATAGTACATTTAAAAAAAACCTCATCATGTTTCACAGTTGTATTTTCATGTCTCTGTAGCTATTAATAAAGTGACAGGTATTATTTGAGAAGTGTTTTCCACTTACAGATTTGCAGCACCTACTGAACTATAAATTGCCAGAGTTTTGAAAGATGCTGGATGTATTATTTTACGTAAAGTTCACTTGTTTATATATCGGTGGTCAGAGCTCTAAATGGTATTTCATAATTCAGGTACTTTATAGGAACATAGCATAACTCTGGAGATCCTATCCAGAGACTTCTTTTCCTAGTTTAATTTTAGTTTTTGCTGTTACGAAGTTTTTCTTTGTTTCAAGGGTACTTCTGATGTCACTAGCATTTAGAGTATTATTCTTTTGTACTGCTTGAATTTAGAACAAAAATGTCATTGTGTCATTTAAGTAAATACCAGGGTTTTGATTTTTGGAAAATTTTGGCCTTTTGATCTTTTTGCAGTTCTTCAAGAGACCAGCTGTGGTTCAGGGTAGCAAGATTCTTCCTAGTGCTCCAAATTTGCGACAGCTTTTAAAAATTGTACTCTTCAGTCCATGTACTGAGTCTGTGAAGATTTTTAAACCCCTAAATACCTCTCATCCTCTCCTATTTCATGTATATGCAATGCAGGCTTTTCCCTCATGATTTAACTCCTGAGCCACGCGTCCTCTCCAGCCTCTTAAACAAGGCTGATGTTGATGGGTAAAATCTAAATCTCTGCTCTTGACACAAGTCTTGAGACTCCTATCTCTAATTCTGTAGGCACAGTCCTGTAGAGTTCTGTTAAATACTTCTTTTATAACTTTGACCTATGTCACGTATATTCTTTCCTATTAAAAGTAAATTATTACTTCATATAAATTCTACTATATGCTAGATATTAGGGGAGTATATATATACACATACACATATATATATAATATGTTGTAAGGGAGAATTTATGACAAAAGACAAATTTTAATTTGTCAAGCTTATTGGTCCATTTATTTCCAGAATGACCTTGACATTTGTAACTTTATTTGTAACATTTGTGGTGTGTAATTAGACGATATTGTCGGTTGGGGCTTGCTGCAGGTTTAAGAGGATTGATTCTGGATTAGTGCACTTGGGTATCTTTATTCTTGAACCTGGTTTTATGATACTTTTGTGCTTTTCCTTGGTGTTGCATGCGGAGGTGACATTAAGCACAGGGGACTTTGGCCTCAGAACCTGTAAAGTGCAAAGCTTCCTTAGAGGCTGTATGGCAGGATGCGGACCCTGCTGGACTTGGAAACTGTGGGACTTGGTCCCTCTGTCCCCTGAAGCTCAAGCAGTGCTATTTTACATCCTCATTTTTTAGATTTTAGAGGCTAATGTGGGGGGACTTCTAAATTATAGCTGATGTCTGATTTCTGAAACCCCTCTTAAATCTTCCTCCCACAAAGATCTGCCTTTCAGGGAAGAGTCAGGAGCAAGGGTAGGTACAGCAAGCAGCCCAAGGCCAGGACCAGCTGCTAAGCAGAGGGCAGGACGGAAGAGTTGGTGTGTTCCCTGCAGACCGGAGTTAAGCCAAGGGATTGCCAATTGCATAATAGATACTGAGGCTAGAGGGAAGAGAAAACTTATGACTGGAAGCCTGGACAGTCAAGAACGAGATTGAGAGTGGGTACTTGCGGGCCCTGTGTATTAGTGTGATTACATTTTCATTCTTACACTCTCTATGAGCCCAGCTTTGGGGTAGCAGCAGTCAGGGATACCAGGACAGGAGGCACACGGTTCCCTGCTGAGAAGAGCTGGAGGGAGGAAGGGGAAGGAGAGATCCGAAGGTCTGGGTGAGGAAGGGTCGGTCCCACTGTCGTGGAGGCGGACTAGGGAGCCAGGCAGTCAGGCAATGAGGCCTGCAGGACTTGGGGCAACAGGGGCACGGGTTTTGCTGTGTAGCGTTCTTTGCCAAGCACCTCTGAAAAGGTTCCGAGTTCAACATGTGCAGTTACCACACTCTTCATTCATTCCCTACCCATCCTGCTTTTTTTCCTCCTCTCTGAAATATTGATAGAACCATGAGTTTCCATGGTGCTGTTTGCACACAGACAGGCAGAATTGAGGGGCGGAAAGATGTGGTTTGACAAAACCAGTTTCTTTTCTCCAGTTGCCTTAAGCTGTGTACTAAAGAGAGTATTTGTTTCTTTCCCATCATCTTCATTTGAGAAGAGGAAAAAAAAAATCCCTTTTAAAAAGGGAAAACAGCAGCAACCACCCCTATTTTTAAAGGAATGAGTAGAGGACAGCACAAAGATTTGATTTGCAGCATGCAGAAAATGGCAAGCGACTCTTCTATTTTCATTTCAGTCTGTTCTTGGCACAGCAGTTTTGGATGCATGCTGCTGACATGTCTGTGTCTCCACACTGTCACTCTTCAGCCTTTTAAACAGTCCTTAGTACAAATTCAGTGCTATTTGCTTTTTAAAAAAAGGAGGGAAAAGTGATTATAATTACCAGCAGTTACTAAATGTTTTTAAAAATGCGTGGGTGGGATAAGTATGCTTCTTAAAAAAGAAAATGTTTATGGAAATAGTCTATTTGATGATTTATGTATTTTTATCATCCTGTTTTCAAAAACTTAAACCACTTCATATTTTAAAAAATTTAAGTTGCCAGCTACTAGATATAACTTATTTTAAGTTGTACTGTGTTTCAGTAATGAATAAAGGGTTTTGAGTGAGTCACTATCTTAGTTAACTAAGTGGAAAAAAACTCTTTATTATGCTGACTTAGTCTGTGTCATATGTTGAAGATTTTAAAAGAATCTCAACCACTTTCTAGTAAGTTCTTTCAGTTTTTTTGACTCAATATTTGAAAACTGGTTTTCTTGCTGACATGATCATGAATAGCTTTAAGACTTTTTTCTTTTTTTAAGGTTTGGGAATGGGGTGTTGCATTCCTTTGAGAGCTTTTATTTTGACTGAAGTTTGAAAGCATACTAACAACAGAAGTTCTGCAGAAAACCTTGGAGCCTTTAGCTGCTCTTGCTTTAATAATACTGCAGCATAGGATAGTAGGACATTGTTGCAAGAGCTTTTTCAAATTGGAGAAGCTTGTTTGTGTGCTGTAGGAATTAGGTCTGAATGTACTAATATTACCTTTTCTTCTTTTTCTAGTCCTTGCAACAATAGCTTTCGCTTTCCTTCTGCTCCCGATGTGCCAGTACTTAACACGGCCTTGTTCACCTCAAAACAAGTAAGGACTTGAGAAATCTTTTGCTGCTCTTCTTGTATGTTGGTCTTTTACTGAGAATTCTTTAACAGAGTCTTTGGTTATGAGCATTAACCTCAGGGCTGATGTTTGTGCATATTTTTTGTGCCAACACCACGTTTCCACTTGGAAACTAGGAAGCACAATTTCTGCAAGTCACGCACGCTTGCCAGCCTGGGAAATGCAGTACTATTGCAGGGGACTTGATTTCCCAACAGTGTTTTTTAAAAAGTTTGGCTTATTTTGGCTGAGATTTCAGAATTTGGGATTTGGTATTGGATTTTAATGTTTGTTAACGTTGGACTATGGATTTTAATGCTGGCTCTGTCAGAGACTGTAGTTACACTGGTGAAAATTACAGTTGTTAGTGTCATGTTTTGAAACTAATTTTTTTTCTTTTACCTTGTGACTGGAGTTCATGTTGCAAAAAGAAATATGTTAGATGGTACTAGGAAATAGCATTCATGGTAACAATGTCAAGAGAGGTGCCAGGATTTACAAGGGTTTTTCCATCTCTGTAGTTCAGGCTTTGCACACGTTATTTGAATGTGAAGACAGCTTTTATTTTGTTGCTGTTTTGGTACCTATTTGTGGTAAAGGAACTTCCCTTCAGTTTTTCTTGGCATCTTTCATCAGCAGTTGAGCCTTGTTCCAACAGCATCCATTTTCTGTTCTTTAAATGGAAACATGAAGTCTTCTAGATAATGTTTATATGTTGTTCCTAGGATTTCCTTTGGCTGCTGCGGGCGTTTCACTGCTGCTGAGTTGCTCTCATTTTCTCTGTCTGTGATGCTTGTCCTTATCTGGGTCCTAACTGGCCACTGGCTCCTTATGGACGGTGAGTATGTGAATTAAGGGATTTTACTACTGGTTTGTGCCTGTTCTGACACATCCAGTCACGTGGTGATGATTGGTGAAATTTGCTAATATTAATGGTTTGCTGAGTTGTAATATTGCAAGGTAGACTCCTGAAAACAACTGCTCTCAGGAACATGCCAGGGTAATGTTTGGGACACCTGTTTTTCTGGTTTGTAAAAGCTTCCAAGGAAGTGCCAGAACACTCATGAAAGATATTCTGCACCTGTGTGGTGTAGGGTGGATTGCCAGTTTTAGTTAAAGATGTGTGGAGACAGTGGTTGTTTATGAATCATAACTTGATCTTAACAATCTGGTTAATTTTTGCTGTGCATCTTGTTTTTTGGTTCAGATGATCAAATAATTTTTTGTGAGACAGTTCACAGTAGCTGGCTCTCTTTGATCTCTTTGATGTTTGCCAGTTAGGATGGTGAGATGGGTGAAGCTGGCAGGCATCCAGCTGGCTTGAAGGTGTGATTTTCTCTCCCCCCACTCCCCCATGCTGGTTGAACTGAATTCACAGCTTACTGTTCCAAAAAGGAGCTTTCCTCTTCCCCTCCTGCCTTCCAAATCTCTTATGCTAGCTCTGGCACTTATTTAATCACATGGTAAACTGATTCAGCTCACTAGAATGGCAGCGTACTCTTTTTTTGCCAGGCTATTTTGCTGCTGCTGCAGTGAGATGAATTGGATTATTGTGCAGTCAGGTATGTGCTAAATTTGGCAAAAGGTAAGTGGCGGCATGATGGGATCTGAGAGGATGGAGTGGATATGATAGCAAAGGGATGAAGAGGTAGCCTGGAGCAGGACCTCTGATTCTCAGCAGTGTCAGGCAGCTGAATTGGCTTAGGACATCTCGTGAAATGGCACCCTGAGGTGGTGATTGCTTGAGGAAAAATAGCAGGGACAACATTAGACTCATAGAATCATAGAATGCTTTGGGTTGGAAGGGA